AGAAGAAAACAGCAGAAGAGATGGAGCAGCAGTTCCAGAACACATCCTCAGTCGATTACAGTTTAAAGGATGGGGAAACCATTGTAATCCAAATAAAGAATGTGAGATTATTTTGCATCCTTTCCCAACAATTGAGATTATTTTGCATATTTTCCCACCAATTCATTTATTTTGCATCTTTCCCCAACAATTGAGATAATTTTGCATCTTTTCCCAACAATTTCATTAGATGCATGTATTTACCAGTTTAGTTATGTTTGGAAATTTTTGTAATTCATCTGGAATTTCACACTTTGTTTAACTTGGAGATTATTGAAATTATAGTAGGAGATGAAAACATTGATTTAATAAGAAATTTCAAGTGGAATCATAAAAATGTGTTCCAAATTCTATCAATTTTGCTTAAATTTGGAACGCGTTTCATATTGAATTTCTCACAAGTTTAATTTTTGTCTTTTTTTTAAACGAAATTTTTAATATCTCTTAGTTAAATTACAAGTTTCCAAGTAAACATCAGAAGCTACTTCTTTTTCCAACATGGCATTAGTGTATTCTTATAAACTCGTAATTTTCCTCCTTTCTTCTTCTTTTTTTTTTTTTTTTTTTCTGTTTATGAAACAGAAAAGCAGCCAAGGTGTGAAGTCGAAAATTCTTGAGCATGGCATGAACAATCTTTCACTAGAAGATAAGGGCAATTCCAAAGAGCCTATACTTCCCATCAAACCACCACCACCACCTCCTTCATCACCGCATTCTCCTGTTTTGTCACCTGTACCTGCTGTTCAGAAATCTCAATCGACCTCGCCATCAAACCCGAGTCATGAAGGAGCTCCTAAACCAAATTCTCCAGACTCAGTAAAACAAGAAGCGAAAGAACAGCATTCCCCAGAAGCCGAAAGCGGAGAAGATGCAACAGACGATGATTTTGGAGATTTTCAAGCTGCAGGGTAAAATGGTTTGTGAAACTAATCTTGTACTCAAAATTTTAGATTTGCCCTTGATTATGAACACTTTTGCATTGTGAGGTTTCGAATTAGATTGTTACTTGATAATCTTTATTCACTTTCAGTAAATATTTGGGGAATGTTATACAGCATGAAGTTAACTACAGTTGCCTTGTGCTTTTCTTGAGTGATTCTTGTTTTGATTTTCACATTTAATTGGATTGACTTAATTTTGTCCTCTCTCGTTCTATATGATTAGTGTATTATTAGTGAAAGAAAATGAACATGGGCAGACTTGTTGAGCCAATCATTAGCTAAGAATCTATATGTATATATTGTTTGTCGATCTATTTTTTCAAGTAATAAAGAGTTCGTTATAAAATTGTACTTTGTATTCGGAACATAATAGATTCACTGAAATTTATCTCAATTTAATCATAACAAATCTATTAAGATATTACGAATTAAATATTTAATTTTATTAAATTAAATATTATAGATCGATCATTATATCTCATAATATACTCGTTAAATGATAATTTTTACATGTTCAATGATATTAGAGTTCGTGACTAATAGGATCCCAATCAGAACATGAATATTTTACATATAACTTTTCTCTTAGGGTGAGAAATTAACCACACAATTTTATTGCCGATAATTTTCATATCAGTTTCTTTTGACATATATATTTAAATAGAAAAGGAAATACAACAGTTTCTCTAATATAATAGATTGCAAATAGCTATCAGAAACTATCTGATCATATTTGCTTTAACAACGAATTCAGTAACTGGTTGATCACATTCGGTGGTCACTGAAGTATCGGGGATTATACATCTTTTGTCTATGATATATTCGTACAGTATCAATGACCTTTTAAGTAAAACACAAAAATCGTAACTATTAGATGATCGTGTTGATTAATTAGTTAAATTTTCTATTCTACTGAATCATATTGTACTCGATAAAATTAAAATGATATTGTTTGACAAAACGATAAATAGTTTTTATATATAAAGAGAAATATTTATAGTTTATTTTTGATTCTCACAAAATACACGTGTAAATTTAGCTACTATCTTGATTGCAATAATTTTGTGATTAATTTAATTATTCCTTCAACTTCACATTACATTGAAAGCAAAAAAGAAAAATTCCTTTTTGTTGCTTTCTTTGTCATAAAAACACAAATTGATGAAACAAAAAAATTAATTTTTTAATAAATTAAAATAATGTTTTTTAAAAAATAAAATTATAAAAAATACCCTTAAAATAATTTCTAAATTTTAAAAATAAAAATGTTTAAATATAAAATTAAACTGTAATTTATCAAAAATAAAATTATTTATTTAAATAAAAATTGAGAATGGCAAATAATGGGCTCGAACGGAGACCAAACATTATAAACCTCAATAAGGATAACAAAAGGGTCCCACCAACCACGAAGCTTTCAAGCAAAAGGTGGACCCCACTGGTGGGCCCCGTAAATTCACCAAAAGTTAAACACGTCACACGTGTCCTTCAATTACGACCCTGAAACACAGTGAACCCTGTTTGTACGTTTCTCTTCCTCTCCTCTTTCTTCTCCTACTTGAGTTTCTTGCTCCTCAAAAACTGTAAAAAAGGGCTGCGGCATGTAAAAACCCTCGAATTGAATTTCTCAAGCTCTGCGTCATCTTTCGCTTCAAGTGAGTTTTATGTAGCTTCAATTTCAGTAAATGAGAGAGAGAGAGAGAGAGAGAAAGCAGATGATATTTGAAATTTGATTTTCGATTGTGCCTGTTTTATTTGGTACTGGCTGGATAACACTAGCAAGTGCTCGTTGGTTTTCGAATTCCGATCGTCGGTTTCTCTTTTCTCTCCATTTCGTATGCAGTGGAGTTGTTTTTTTTTTTTTTTAACGAAATTTTGGTTTCGTGTGTTGTTGTTTGCGTGTGCTGGAACATTTCATCCACGCTTCTTCATTTCGATGATCACGTGCAGGATTATATTGGTTTTCGATTTTTAATGTTAAATTGACGATAGTTTTCTTGGTGGGTTGAAGTTGTGCAATAGTTAGTTTTCTTGAGTCTTACGGAGCAATCGAGTTGAAGGCTTTTTCTTGGTTTGCAAACATGTGTTTCTTGGTTTGTGCAATTGATTTTAGATGACAATTTATTGGTAAACTGGGAATTCATGCGGCAGAAAGCATTTTGGTGCATAATCATTTCGCTGCTATTAGCTTTTTGTGATGGTGATGATGGTTTTGGTCGAATAATTTTACAAAATTTTTCATATCATTGGTGCCCTTTGGAGTTATTTAAATGCATCCGGTTAGAAGTTACTTATTATTTCTCTCCTGATGATCTTATGATGGAGTTTCATACTCTTTTTGCTCATTGATTAAGACCTTGTAGAGATGTGAAAGTCAAGCTATGTTGCAAGGCTATTGTTTACTTATGCAATTTCTTTAGTTAATTGAGCAAGCATGATAGCAACTGATAACGTAACAATTGGACTGCTTGGTTGTATATTGGAATTATCAGTGTCCGGTCCTTTTGCAGTTTAGTGGGAATAAATGAGGTTAAAATTTGGAAACTCCTGCAAATTTTATATAAAATGAAATAGAAATGTGGAAATGGGTTATCATTATGTAATCTTAGCTAGTTAATATGGTCCTTTTGTAGTTGGTCTATCTTTTTTTTGAGTTTGTGACATGCATTTAACCTTTCATTCAACTACTTCCTTATTTCTGATGGTCCTTTATGTACTGAGGTGCCTTGCATCATATTGACAGCATGTCACTTTTTTAATAGGCACCCTAGAATACTTGTTGGTTCGGGCAAAATAATTAGTTAGATTGAACTTGTATGTTTTTCTATTCTATTGTTTTGTCTGTCACTTCGGTGGGTCTCAGAAACAAGGAAAAATTCTGAAGTGAAAGTCGATTAGGTACTTGTATTGTGTTAAGATTTCACTCAAATCTAAAGCTAATGTGAGAGGAGAGTACCTTGACAGGCAATTTGAAAAGAGAAAAGTTTACTCGGTGAATGAGGTTATATTTAAATATGTATTTTGTGACTGTATGTGTTTATGATCATTTAATAACCACATTTTCCCATAACTGGGACAATGAAGTTCATAGGGCTGCATATTTT